AGGGCGGGAGGCAGGCGTCGAGGGATGGAGAAGACAGTGAAGGAAAGAGGGTGAGGGGATGGCTCTGGCGACAGTCCTTACAGTGCCTTCGGCCCCCAGGCGATTCCAGATCCGGACAACGTGCACTTTGGTAGCAGGCCGGAAGTTAACGAGGACACCGGCACCCACCGTGGTGAGGAGGCAGGCGCCCAAGGGGGCGACAGATCTGGAGAAAAGAGGCGAGGAGGGCAAGAAGGAAGGAGGAGGAGATAGGGTGCGTCGGGAGATTGGGAAGCCAAGGAGGGGGAAAATGGAACCCAAATAAATCATCTTCTCCTAAAAGAGCTGTGCGACTACAATACTTTTGTACCTGTCTTGAATGTCTTGAGGTCGAATGTAGCACATCGCCTTCCATTCCAATCGGACCTCCAAAGTACCCTCCTTGCTCCCACCACGGTACCGCCTGAGGGTACCCCATCCGTAAGGCGTCTTCACAACAAAACCAGGTTCCCAGACGCAGGCTGCTCTCGATCTACGTCCTATAACGATATCTTCCTGCCCGCGGTCCGTTCGTGTAGTAAATTTCTCCCAACAGTGTTGTCGTAGTTTCCCATGGAGGGGTGATACGGCCTCCGCCATGGGAGCGTCCTCCTCCCTGTTTGTGATGTTTTTCCTTTTTGCTTCACCACGCAGGAGAAGACCGCGGTCTGGGCGTCGAAAAATATCACATCAAAACATGCCGGGACATTACACTTAGGGCGTGCCTGGTGTAGCCCGGTAACACACAAAAAAAGCGACGGGATTAGTATTACCTCCCCTGGAAGTCTCGCGGTTGCTGCAACAAGCGAGCCCTCCCAGCGATGCCTCCCACGCCGTCGTTAATCCTCCACTATGACACGCATGTTCACGCCACATGCTTGGTTTACCGTTGTGACCTTCTTTGTGGAATGGTGTCTTTACCGGATTGAGTTTCCACCCCTCTTGTGTTATTTTTTGGGATGTTGCGCTCATTCCCTCCCTGCCTATCCGGTTTACTTCCCGCTAGCTTGCTGTATATAGATCCTTTGTGATTTCGGAACATTTTTTCCTCCTTGCACCAAGCACTCAGTCTTCTCACAGTCCTTATATCATCCTCCATGCGACTCTATGTTCGAACAAGCGCGCTGCCCAGTTGGTACACTTGCCCCGTTGCGCAGTTTTACAGGTGGAGGGAACGCTGGCGAACACCGCTCCCCTTACCAGCTTAGCCAGTTCCGCCTCCCCCTCCCAAGCATCATTTGTGCCCGTCGCACCTCCACCGCCGCCTCCCTCCACCTTTACCTCCTTCCTGCCTGGCTTCAGCATGCTCCGGCTCCTAGACGTGGGCTTGGAGATAGGGCGCGGTCTGGGCCTGGTGCGGTCCACGTCCTTCATTGAGGTACCTGGTTCATGGATCCCGAGAGGGTGGAGGGCGAGGGTAGGGGGGTATAAGTATTCTTGCATGAATAGACAGGATTTCCTCACGGCAGTGAGGAAACTGAGAAATTTGGTGGCTTCAGGATGCGTTTGCTTTTCCTTGAGGAAGTAGAGAAGGCGGGACAGGGGCTGCCCTGTGATGGGGAACAGTTGAGTTCTTCGAGGGGACTGTTTACGAGGACGATAGAATGGACATTATTGCATATATGATATGTGTGTACATTTACCTCGAATCCTCTGCATATCTCGTTTGTCTTTAAAATGCGGACCGTATGAAGCCAGGAGACGTATCGACTGCTGCTTCCCCCATTCCTCTCACTCCCCCTTCCACCCCTCCCT